ATGCAGTTACATGAATCAGAGAAAAAAAAAAACCATATAGTATTACCCATTAATCATATTCATTTAAATAAAACACTGATTTTATTAAACAAAATTAACTCAACTTACTTCACATAAGGAGTATTTTTTACTCTGGTTTTTGTGGTTTCTTTTGCTCTGAGTTTTCTAAACCCTTCAGTATTTTTCAAATACTTTGTTTTCTATATATCATTATGTTGAGATTAGATAATTTTACTAAGCAATTAAACAAATACACGTTTTAATAGAAGAGGAGGTCCCACTTCACACGCTTGTGACTTCACCTTTGTTCTCATTGTCTTGGACTGATTTCAACACCCCACCCTGCATTTGTAAAATGGGTTCCACAATAAGAATGAGTGGGGACCTGGCCTTACTCTGTTGTTGCTGGGGGAGAAACTTGTGAGAATGAACACCTTGCCTTACAAGTTCACACAGGCCATCCTATTACTAAGTGGAACTCCTAGGTCATTACTGCATCTACCTCTCCACTCGCCAAGTGTGAATAATAAGAATCTGAGCACTTGCTCTTTTCTACTTCCAAAAGCTTTTATTTTTAATTTTCATTTAGTATCTATAATGTTTGGAATAGACAATGCTACTCTTTAGAGATATAGTTGCTAGGAGAAGTGTGAATTTAGGATTACCAGGCCACAAGGAATTAGGACCCTGTTACAAAATAATTGCATGCATAATAAAGGTTCAAGCTCAAACTTTTATTAATTGGAAAAACAAAACCACCATTCTTCATAATGTTTATGTTTTAAAAGTTATTCAGGGGACTCAAAGGAAATCTAGACAATTAAAAAAAATACATGCTAGTACATAAAACACACACTAATCATGTGGAAAAACTCAGGCACATCATTATTTAAGACCTCTTTGAGCTATACGGAGGACACAGCCTTTCTAGGTTTGAATTCATGTCTGGCTACCCCCTGGCCAGCTGATCCAGGGAAGCCATCCTCCCCCTCCTAAATTGTGTTACCAACTCTAAATTCAGGTTCTAATAATTCCTACATCATTCCTCTTTATTAAATGAACTGAGTTAGGCAAAAGTCTTGTAAATCATAAAACCATAAAACATGCAAATATTTGGAAAGGTATTTTGTTTTTCTTTTCCTGTTTATTTTAGAAAGCAATCATCTAATAGAGCAAAAGGAAGCCAGGATAATTAACTAGAAGATTGTCTCCGTTTCTAGTACAGAGGTAGTGAGATTAGAGATTACAGAATAAAATGGCAATTAGACTGGATAGCGAGGATTTGTTTTTTAATTGAGGAAAATGTTTATGATTTGGTGGGCACATAGAGAAAATAAAGAGTGAAAAGACAAGATCATTGCCATCAATGGCAGGAATAGAACTGCTAAGATGTTAGGGTAAATGGAAATCATAGAAAAAGAAGTGGGAAGTTCTTTTCTGGATTTGATGAGATTAAAGAGATGACAAGATCATTAAACCAAGAAAACGTGTCAGCCATCTTGCAACTTGGAAGGACCCTCAGGACAAGCCAGTAAGGACGGCAAAGGCGAATGCCCCAAATCCTGTGTCCTTGGGTCATCTTGCCACTAAATAACCAACTTTGGGACTTTGTTTTAACTGTGTATTTTGCTACTTGCAGCCAAAACCATCTTACCCAAGGTAACAGTGAAGTTGAATTGAACAAAAAATAAAATAATCTTGGTAAGATAACTAAAAGGATTATAGATATTTTGAGTCAGTTTACAATTCTTTGTTTTTGAGAAGGGCTATGTCTTTAAATATAGTAATTGCTTTTTCCTTTTGCTACAGATTTCCCCCCTTTGGAGACCCAATAAGGTAAACTGAAGAATAATAGCTGCAGTGGAAAGACAGAAGATAATCCACTTGTGATCTAAAAGATTACTGATGTGTTTTTAAATGGCAATGTAGAAGTTACATGTCTAGAAAGCACTGTTTAGTTCAAAAAGCATTTATTCTGTCTCTAAATCAGGCATTATGCTAAATCGTGAGCTCCTGCAGTTTTAGATATGAGTTGTTAGAAAAGATATTTCATTATTATGAGAATGATTCACTTTCCTAAAATCCTACCCTAACTCTGAATATATGAAGATGGATTAGACCATAATCATTTATATTAATGATGGTCTCACATCTCAGCTCCTCTGTTTGAGAGAGAAACCTTAAAAGGACAATGCTCCCAGGTTTCTTAAATTTTTATTGATAAAAACTTGAGTTCTATTTCTCCCCAGGATACCAATAATACATTAAAGTGAGTTATATTTTAGTTATCATTTCTGAGTAATTAATACTATGTTCCTTTCTGAGAAATGTGTTCATATATCAAATAGAGTTTTTTAAGGTGACCACTAGGTTACTGGTTATAAGAATAATAGGAAATATTTATCATGCTTGCAATGTGCCAGATATTCCCAATCCTCAAAAGAAGAATGATTATTATCACCACTTTCTGGCTGAAGAAACGAAGACAGCGTTGTGGGGAACTTGCCCAACAATTAAGAGTTGGAATCAGAATATATATCCAGGCACTGACTCCAGACCCCACACGCACTTCACTTACATCCGACAATACTCCAGATGAAAATAAAGTGAGGGTATTATCACTTCTTTTATGATCTTAAGTATCTAAACATTTATTTTTTAAGTAGCTTGAAAATACTACTGGAAGAAGTACAAACTTCCAGTTATAAAATAAGTCACAGGGATGAAAAGTACAGCATAAGGAATATAGTAAATAACATTTAATAATGCTGTATGGGGACAGATGGTGCTGACACTTCCCATGATGATGACTGAGTAATGTATAGAATTGTTGAACCATTATGTTGTTCGTTTGAAACTCATATAACATTGTATATCAACTGCACTTCAATAATAAAAAAAAATACTACTGGATAGTTAAGTATCCAACTCTTGATTTCGACTCAAGTCATGATCTCAGGGTCATGAGATCAAGCCCCACCTCAGGCTCCACGCTGAGCATGGAGGCTGCTTAAGATTCTCTCTCTCTCTCCCTCTCCCTCTGCTCCTCCCCTCAGCTCACACATGTGCACTCTCTTTCTCTCTCTCTCTCTCTCTCAAAAAAAAAAAAAAAGCTACTGGAAACTTTAATAAGTATTCTATAAAGAAAGATTTCTTCAACACATAAAAATTAGAGGAAACTTTTCTGACTGAGGGGCTTCCAACAGCTAAATAGGTCAGTGAGGTGTAGAATGATCTCCATGACCATACATTGGCTCTCTCTATTGAATGATGTAACAAAATAGCATTTCCACTTTCCCTAAAGCCATCAAACACTCAGAAAGGAAGAGTCAATGTCAACTTCTTCTTGGCTTCAGAAGAAGTAGCTAAACTTTGGCCCAGGTTTCTCTAATCCAAGCCTTCCTTGGCTTCCCCATCTCTGAACGTCCTCCTTCCAGCAGCTGCACTGAAGTTTTTGTTTGTTTTCTTTTGCTCTTGTTTTATTTTTCTTCTTGGGTGCTAGACATCCATTGATGATCTGAGGGATAATTCGCAGCCCCAACCTTCCTACTGATACATCTGATACTCTTCTCCCATGATTGTTCATTTAAGTACAAAGTGTAATGGAGCCAGAATCCCTAACACGTGGGGTCTTTGGTAGATTATTTCACCTCAGTGTGACTCACCTCCTCATTTTCAGATCAGGACTGTTGCCTGCTTGGAAACAGCTGCTGGGAGGGTTGCATGGATGATCCATATCAAGATCCAGTGTCTGGCAGGTGACACACTCAGCCACCGCAATGACTGTTGTTATCATTAAGAAAATGACTCCATAAGATTCTCATGCATTCTCTTGCTCTGGGTTCAGGCATCACTCGTTTTATCTTGTGCTTTATCTTTTAACAATAATTTTTAATATGCATTACAGCACTTTTACATAGAAAAGTGTTTTAAAAAATAGTTTTTAGTATTTCAGTAGCAATTGGGTTGGTGTTTGATGATTTTCCCTGGTACCTCAGTTGTTTTCCATCCAGATTTTTTAATTCAATAGTTCGAAGGTCTCTTCTGTTTAACTTTTTTTCTGGAGAAAAACCTGCCCATATATGAACTCAGTATATATTTGCTAGTAAGTGAGATCCATTTTGCTTTCCCTATATGCTGCCCTCATTTTACTCAGTATAGGTTGTCAACTTTTTTTTTCTGGGGGAAGGAGGTATAGATATACTTTTGAGTATAAGGGAAGAAAGATTAGGCTTCCAATTTTGCATTTCTCATTCTTAGTTACACCAAGTAAAATCACTAAAGAAGTAATACAACTTCTAGTCAAATTCCAAACTGGTGCAGCCACTATGCAGCATGGAGTTTCCTCATAAAATTGAAAATAGAACTACCATATGATTCAGCAATTCCACTTCTGGGTACTTCCCGAAGAAAATGAAAATACTAACTGGAAAAGATATAATTGCCCCCATGTTCATTGCAACATTATTTACAGTAGCCAAGATATGGAAACAACCTAAGTGTCCACTGATGGATGAATGGATAAGAACAATGTGGTGTATAAATACAATGGAATATTGCTCACTATAGAAAAGAAGGAAATCTTGCCATCTGCAACAACAGGGATGGACCTTGAGGGCATTTTGCTAAGCAAAATAAGTCAGACAGAGAAACACAAATACTGTATGTTCTCACTCATATGTGGAACCTGAAAAGAAAAATAAAACAGAAAAAAAAAACCCACTGAACTCATAGATACAGAGAACAGATTGGTGGTTTGTGGTTGCCAGAGGCAGGGCATTGGGGGGATGGGCAAAATGGGTGAAGGCTGTCAAAATGTACAAACTTCCAGTTAAAAAATAAATAAGCCTTGAGCATGTCATAGACACCATGGTGACTCTAGTTAATAATGCTGTATTGTATATTTGAAAGTTGCTACGAGAGTAGATTTAAAAGTTCTCATCACAAGAAAAGAGAAACATACATCATAAATATAGATGTACAATTCATTAAGAACTGCTTCCAAAAACTTTATTCAACAGAAATTATAATAGCTTACAAAGTAGAATCTTGGAGACACACTGTTAAATCACTCTGGTTTCCTTAATCACTACCATGATGCTACTAAAAATAAAAACAAAATTGAAATGACCAGTGACATTTGCCAAACATTATGCTTTTTCCTGTCATTCTCATCAAATAATATCAAGAAATGATATAACTTTATCAGTTTTAATGGTCATATCCATGAAGCTAAGGATAGTGTATAAATTGCTGACTTTTGGAAAGAGAGAAAACATGAAATATCAAAACAGCCTGCTTGCTCTCTGTGAAGCTCCAGGTCTTGATCTCCATTACTAGCAAATTTGTTCATCAACTGCCTTTTTCTTCAGTCAGCGCCATATCCTACACGTATTATCCTTGCTACCTAATAAAACAAATTTCACCAAGTTATTTTTTCTTTATTTCATTCACTAACTCTCCCTTTTTACAAGTTGATCTTCTCTGGGACATTGACGATGAGTAATGTACTCAGTGTGCCCAGCTGTGGAGTCTTTGAGCTGCTCCAGCATTTTGGGGGCAAGAATTTTGTATTTTTAATGATTCCTGTCAGTCATCAATTGGGCAAGTTCATGTCCTACTCACACGTGTGAGATTCATGGCATCTCAGAACTGGAGCCCTGAGAATGCAGCCTTCCCCTCTGCTCATTCCCTCTGCCCTCCCCTCAAACAATGCAGTCAAGTGGAAAGACAGTGAATTTGAACATCCCCAGAACCGGGTGATTAACTTATAAGGCTGCAACAATTTCCACTTCAGAACATTTCAAAACGTCAACGGATTTTTCTCACTGTTGGTAAAATGTGAAATGTGCAATTCTTTCACCCTCCCCACTGCTATGACAGACACTCTTCCAAAGCAGCTCTGATCAACTGCTACCCAAGGATGCCATTCACATTCACTCTGCCTTTGGAAATGACCACCCTGGTATGGAGCAGCGCTGGGCACTGCTGGTTCTCTGACCTTTGGGAGCCAGGCACATAACATCAATATAAGAAGTGTGCTGGTTACATGGATTGGGAGAGCCTGTGAAAACTGTTCATTCCACCAAAAGACACTTCATCTTCTAAAAAAAAAAATTAATGACCATGCTGGCCAAGTTCCTTCCATTTTGTGATTTCAGGCCCAACCTCAGGCAGCCCATGAAACTCATGCAGTTAATCGCACCTGGGCCTGTCAAGGAAAGGGGGTAGATCCATTCAAACAAAGTGATTGTTCTGGTGATGACAAGACAGGAATGTCACCCCCTTGTAGTAAGCTCCCCCATCCAGCAGGCCAGTATTTAGCACTTTGGTGCTTTGAGAGACACTAAATAAATCATTAATATCTTAACAAGCTCAGGAGTGCAAATGCCAGCACCAAAACAGGGCATAAACAATGTTCTTCCCTAAAGTCTCTTAGGATCTCCTGTGACTCCGGGAAAAGGTACCACACGGCTGGTCTAACATGAACCATGTAGACTAGAAAAGGCTGGTCCTCTGACAAAACAGCCCCATCTTCCTTTTCCTTACTTGCCATCAGCTTCCTACATGAGCTTCTGGTGCCCCCATCACTGCCTCCCACCTCTTTCCTCGTCATGGGAAAGGATTTGACATTGTGCTCACAATAAAATATGTGGGTTATTATGGTATTGCCTTAAGAGTACCTACATTTTAGTGACGCTAGCAAATCATAAACTCCAGAAAGTAATCCGTAATTTTAGAAATTATCCACAATTAAATAGTAACATGAGGTTTTTAGAGCAAAAAAGGGAGATTATTCTCAACACCCCTGAAGTTATATGACTGAGAAGCTACTTAATCAGCCAATATAGAAAGTCAACCTTGCACATGGGACATTTAACTTATTAGACCAATTAAGCAATTTTGAAATTGCTCAACACATTAAGAATCACTGGGAGTTAGGCAGATTCCGTCCTCTGTGTCCCCTTAGGGTGCCCTACCCCACACAGCTTTACCACCCCACTCCCTGCTAGGGCCTGCTTCCAGAGGCACCACACTAACATCACACCATACTCTTGTCACTTTCCACAAAGTTAACCTATTCTCAATCCAGTTCTTATAAAACATCTTTAATATAATTAATTCACAATAAATTGTTAATGGTTGAAAAAATGCTCAATATGGGTTCTCTTCCCCCAAACATCGAGGTGTTAGCAGGGGGCATCCAAGGAGAAAACAACTTAGTTCAAAGAATAACTCTCTCATGGGCTGGAAGTCCAACGGTATAGAACTTGTGTCCTAGCCTGTTTTAGTTACTAACACTTACTGACAACTGAATATTAACCATTCGGCGGGCACTGCCTGGGGAGAGGTGGTAACCAGTAAGGCAGGCTACTGAATTCTTTGTTAAGAGCAACTAAAATTCAAAATTCAACAAAGCCATATAGTCAAAGCTCACCCTTGTGGTCCCACATGCAACTAAAATTAAATCACGGGTGTGGGAAGCGTGGGCATGCACCAGGGACCCTGCAAGAGGGGGCAGAGAGAGCAGTAAAATCCTTTTGGTATTCAGCTTGGAAACTCAGCCAATTGAAAAAGAAAACCAAGTCTATGTGTCTCTCTCTCCCATACCTGTAATGATTATGTTGCCTTTATAGTTGAAAGCACATGAAAAGATCTCATCCGTGTGCCCCTCGAGAATCTGGAGGCACTGACCAGTCTGAGCATCCCAGATTCTAGCTGTTTTGTCAGCGCTGCCAGTCAGAAGATGATTCCCTTGGGGGTTGAAAGAAATCTACAAGAGAGAAAGGAAAATGACAGGTTTGTGTAATTTGATTCCTGATATATTTTTAATCAGCAAAAGTGGGACATGACTAAGCACCTGTCATCTTCCCAGCTTGACATTTATTCTTACATAGAACAGTTCCTTCTTGGGGGAGGGGTGAATTACAGGGACTAATACATGAAAATTAAAGTCTAGACAGAAAAGTATAACTGGCCACCCCACCCCCACCCCACAGTTCTAAGGATAAAGACCAAAGCTCCTTTCTAATTCGAGTATTCCCCACCTAGCTTCTTTCCAAAGACTCAAGATGCAAGTCTCTCCATACAAACAAAGAGACAGCCCTGGTGTGGATGAGAACACAAGTCAGGTTCCTTCACACCCAACCCTCCATATTATCCCTATAACCCAACTTTCTGTAATCAGAGGCATATAGATTGTCCTTCAGTCTGTGCCACAGAATGAGTGAATGTTGGGGGAACTTTCGTTCTACTGCCACTCAAAGTAAAGCACGTTGTATAAATATGTCCTGAGTGCCTCCAATGTGCCAAGCAGTATCTGAGCGACTGCCAAAGGAAATGGTTAGTTCACTATTCCTTTGGGCGCCACACTTAGAACCCTCTCTAAATCATCGTAAGACAATGATTTGGGTCACCTCCTCCATAACTGAAGGTTTGATGAGGACAAGGCTCAAGAGCATGGCTTTTTTTGTCCCTGTGTCCCCAGTACAATGCCTAGCACAAGGAAAGCTCTCAAAATGCATTTGCTGATCCATTTGTCTGTTGAAGGGCATCTGGGCTCTTTCCACAGTTTGGCTATTGTGGACATTGCCGCTATGAACATTGGGGTGCACATGGCCCTTTTTTCACTACGTCTGTGTCTTTGGGGTAAATACCCAGTAATGCAGTTGCTGGGTCATAGGGTAGCTCTATTTTTAATTTTTTGAGGCACCATTACACTGTTTTCCAAAGTGGCTGTACCAACTTGCATTCCCACCAACAGTGTAAGAGGGTTCCCCTTTCTCCACAACCTCTCCAACATTTGTTGTTTCTTGCCTTGTCAATTTTTGCCATTCTAACTGGTGTTAAGGTGGTATCTCAATGTGGTTTTGATTTGGATTTCCCTGATGGTTAATGATGATGAACGTTTTTTCATGCGTCTGTTAGCCATTTGTATGTCTTCTTTTGAGAAGTGTCTGTTCATGTCTTCTGCCCATTTTTTGACTTGATGCCCTTCAACAGCCAAATGGATAAAGAAGATGTGGTCCATATATACAATGGAATATTACTCAGCAATCAGAAAGGATGAATACCCAACTTTTACATCAACATGGATGGGACTGGAGGAGATTATGTTAAGTGAAATAAGTCAAGCAGAGAAAGTCAATTATCATATGGTTTCACTTATTTGTGGAACATGAGGAATAGTATGGAGGACATTAGGAGAAGGAAGAGAAAAATGAAGGGGGGAAAATCAGAGAGGGAGACGAACCATGAGAGACTATGGACTCCGAGAAACAAACTGAAGGTTTTAGAGGGCAGAGGGGTGGGGGGATGGGTTAGCCTAGTGATGGGTATTAAGGAAGGCAGGTATTGCATGGAGCACTGGGTGTTATATGCAAACAATGAATCATGGAACACTACATCAAAAACTAATGATGTACTGTATGATGACCAACGTAACATAATAAAAAAAAGAAAAAAAAGCATTTGCTGAATGAATGAATGAATACCTTAACTTTGTATACCATAGAAATGCCATTGCTGAACGGCAATTCAATAAGTAGTGTATCGCACAAGCCTAAAATGCAATATAGAGTGTGAGAACTCTTTATATACACAAAAACATGTGTGCTTGTTGAGTGGGCCACATCATGCATGTCAATGGTTATCAGACCAATCACTCAGCAACATGGCCTGGGCTCTCTTCCCAGGCTGTCTCCCACATCCACACTTCCCTATCTCCCTTCTTGCCAGGCCCTAATGCCTCCTAGCCTATGGAAGAGATGTGTTCTGTGTGGCCTCAGAGACGAACCTTGAAGGGCAGGGGCTCCTGGCCACCGGCAGCAGGTGCAGAGGAGGGAGGGGGAGGGAGAGTACAACAGGAGGCAGTTCCAGGGTCCAGGGGCAACATTCCAGGACCTGAAGCCATCAAACTGATCCTTTAAAAGGAAGGAGCAAATCTGATCTCAGGTATGAGACCAAGGAACTGGGTTGAGCTGGGTGGGAGCTGAGAGTCACCAAGTCCCGGCCTTTCCAGAGTTTTTGGAGGACACAGCCAAACCTCAGATCACTGATTGGAAGGCCCTGCTCTGGGAATCAGCTTGTGGGAGGAGCTTAGACAAAATCCTGAGCTACAGCCTTGAAATTTCAAAGTAGGTCATTTTAAACTCTGTTAAGTGTTAAATATTTCCAGGAAATACTTTCTCAATTGCATCTAATTTATGAAACACTTGATACTTGCTGCACAGCATGTTTTTTTGCATAAAATATACTTGTGTGTCTGCTAGGATCAGGAAAAGCACTTCGTAAGTTTCTTAAATAGCTTTAATAGGTATTTTCAGTGAACTCAATCTTTTGCTGATGGCTGAGAAAAAATGCTGTTTTATACTTTTTAAAAGGTTTTAAGAATCTTTTATTATGCTAAGTTTGAGGTCACACTTAAAAATATAGTTTTTAGGTAAGCTGATTTCTAGAAAGAGTGAGATAATTGGACAAGCCCTAGTGCCAACAGACCTATTTACACTAAGCATGCTATGTTTTTAAAACTAAATAAATTGCTCCAGATGAGAAAGCAACTCACCTTTGAAATTTCGCCTTCATGGCCTTCCAATTTGGTAATGCATTTTCTTGTGGCTGCACTGAAAACTCTTGCTGTTCCTTTTTGAAAGAGTGGAAACACATATGAATGCGTCTGAAATACAGAACTTTGAGCCATGTGCCCTGAATTATAGACTATCTATTCCTCTGACATACAGGCTCTGTGCTGCTTCTCTTCTTGCCTGTGGTGAGAGCCACCACCCAAAACTGCAAATGTAAGCTGGCGCCACTGCAGGAGAAGAGGGGAAGCAGGGTGCCCCTCTAGCCCTGAACTTATTAGAAGAAATGATGGGTTCCAAGGTAGAAAAGGGTGGGGGGGAATCCACAAAGAAAAAGTTTGTAACAGGAAAAGGGAGAATCAAAACAAGTTTTGAGAGGCAGGCGATGAAATAAGCAGCCAGACCAGCATCACACACCAAATAGGAGTCTAAGGTTACAGAAGGTTTGAGAGGCCTTCCTGAAATGGAGCAACAACTGCTACTCGCTGGGCAAAGAACAGGCACCAGGGAAGCCTTTCTACGGAAAGAGCTGGTAGAATGGTTTGTTCCCTTTTGTATCCTCAGGGCCCAGAAGTGCCAAGGTCCCAGTAGACACTCAATAAGTGGATGCTGGATGGATGGATGGATGGATGGATGGATGGATGAATGGATGGATGGGTGGATGGGTGGATGGAGTGGATGGGTGGATGGATGGGTGGATGGAGTGGATGGGTGGATGGATGAGTGGATGGAGTGGATGGGTGGATGGATGCGTGGATGGATGGATGCGTGGTTGGAGTGGATGGGTGGATGGATGCGTGGATGGATGGATGGGTGGATGAAGTGGATGGGTGGATGGATGGATGGGTGGATGGATGGGTGGATGAATGCGTGGATGGAGTGGATGGGTGGATGGGTGGATGGGTGGATGGATGGATGGATGGATGGATGGATGGATGGATGGATGGGTGGATGGATGGGTGGATGGGTGGATGGATGGATGGGTGGGTGGATGGATGGATGGATGGAAGGAAAGATGGATGGATGGATGGGTGGGTGGAAGGAAGGAAGAAATGGTATAGACATTTCCTTAGAATTAAGGAATGGAGGAGTTAAATAAATGTAGGAGAAAAACAGCAGTAGTAAAATTGTTGTCAGTGAAAAAGTTAAAATTTTTCTGGCCGGATGAAGGCTGCTCTCTTATTGCAATTACAAAATTACATAGAGGCAAAATTAGTAACGATAGAGAATTTGGGTTACTTAATTTTCATTCAGAGAAGAGCAAAACATCTTAGTAAATTTTTTACTTGCCCTTCTGACAATGTCAACTTCAGGAAGAAATAGATGAAAATTGCTATTTTACAATTAATATGACTAAAAATATAAACCTTGCTAGTCGGACATTTCAAAAGCCTTAAAGCGACCAGTGTGTTTTAAGATTGTGTTAATAGGGTGCCTGGGTAGCTCAGTAAGTTAAATGTCTGCCTTTGGCTCAAGTCATGATCCCGGGGTCCTGGGATCGAGCCCCACATAGGGCTCCCTGCTCAGTGGGGGTCTGCTTCTCCCTCTTCCTCTGCCACCCCCCCGCTTATGCTCTCTCTCTCTCAAATAAATAAATAAAATCTTTTTTTTTTAAAGAATGTGTTAATATTGGGGCGCCTGGGTGGCTCATTCGGTTGAGTGTCCGACTCTTGGTTTCGGCTCAGGTCATGATCTCAGGGTTGTGAGATCGAGCCCCATATTGGGCTCTGTGCTCAGCCGGAAGTCTGGTTGGGATTCTCTCCCTCTGCCCCTTCCACCTTCGCTTGCTCTCTTTCTCTCTCTCTCAAACAAATAAATGAATCTTTAAAAAAAAGAATGTGTTAATACAACAAAAATGAATATCCTGCCTACAGTAATTCTCCAAATTTCTCAAAAGCATTTTTAAGCTTCAGAAAACACAGAAATATCGCCTAAAACTATATTTTTTAAAAGATAGAAATATGAATAAGACACCAAAAAATAATGCAGCCTTGAGAGTAATTCAAATGAGGAAGTAAAAGGTGATAAATGTGAAGAAACAGATGTCACTTCACAGCTTCAACTAACCCCTGTTGAATGGATCCAGTTTTAAGTAGGGAATGAGAAGCAGGAAGCAGAGTTAAGTAAACAAGATGTTTCCAAACATCAAGACTTCTTAGAAGATGCAGAATGAGAAGAGGTTCACAAAACATACCAAAAAAAAAAGTTTTTTTGAAGTAATGTCTTATTGAACAAGGAAAGAATGGAATCACTGCTAGGGGACATAAAACATGATAGGGAAAACAAAAGAATTATTGAACTTGCAGTTAATTCTCATCCATCTCTCAGCATCCTGATCCCCAGACCCTGCCTGTTTCTCCACCCACAGTGCTGACAAACTCCTAACATTCTTTATAATCTAACATCCTCTATATTCTAACATTCTATGGAAAACACATATATGATATTCTTCATTGTCTCCCCCTCCAAAATATAGCTGCATGACGGAAGGAATTCCTCTCTCTTTTGTTCATTGATATATCCCATGTTCCTAAAACAATTCCTGGCACAAAGTAGCTTCCCTATTCTTGTTGAATGGATTTTTTTTATATAAGTGAGAATGATATTTAAAATAAAAAGGGTAGATTAATTACCATTGAGGGATGATTTTAAAAAGTTAAGCTCTGTAAGAAGATGATAAAGAAGGTAGTTACTTTGAAAGATAGAGTTCTCCAAATTCAGGGCATTTATATTCCAGGATATAGAAAGAACTTTACGTATGATCAAAGAATCACCTTTGAAAAGTCCTAGTGAGTAAGGGAACAGCATGCAAATGCAATTTTGAAAAGGGAGACAAAGGTGGAATAAAGACTGTAATTAAAATGAATCACTGGCAAAATTCTACAACTGATTATAACACAAAGGATATGTGACTACTTAACAGTATGTTAGTCACAAGGAACAAATGCAGGCAAACAAAGAACAAGTCATGTCTGAAAAAAGCATCCCATTTTTGCTAGAATTTCTTAAATGGCTGTTAAGTTTACATGGACATGATGTAGTGTCACATAGGGTCGGTCACTAAAGGAATTAGACATAATGAAACATCAAAGAGACAACTTAGACACAGTGTAGACTTAAGTGTGCTGACATGGTGATGACATAATCATAGTACAGCATGATATGCATTCATGGGGAGGTGACACAGATGTAATATAGTGTCACAAGTGGTCGTCACGGAGATGATGTAGACATAGTGGAACATGATGTGTGGTTGTCAAGGAGATGAAAACACACAATGTAGCATCATACATGACCTCAAACAGATAATGGAGATGTTGTGTAGAGTCATCTGTGGACTACAGGAAGATGGCACATACCCAGTGTAGCAACATAATGGATCATCAACCGATGGCACAGATATATCGTAGCACCATATAAGGCCATCATGGATATGACACACACTATATCATCACACACTGTCGTCTGGGAGATGATGCAAAATAGTGTAGCACTCCACATGGTTATCAAGGAGATGACATAAACATAGTATAGCATATACAGCATATATCCCTAGGAGGTTGTCAAAGACATGAATAATGGCACAGCATGATGTATTTATCGAAACATTCAGTAGTAATGACATACCATGACACATACTTAAATTTAATACAGAGTGTGGCATCATATGTATTTGTCAAGGATATGATACAGACATCATGAAGCATCATTCACTGTCATCAGGGAGCTTACCCATAGTACGGCATCATCCACGGCTATCAGGACAGTGGGAAGTCGCAGTGTAGCATCATATAGAGCAGGTTAAAAGATGATACATAGTGTAGCATGATATGTGGTTGATGATCTACAGCATAGACTCACATATGATTATCAAAGACATGATGCAGACATGTCAGATCCTGGGATTTGCAAGGCGAGAAGTCTTCAGGCAGAAAATGCAAACATGCCGTATGTCATACATGGTGTTATGGACCAAATTGTGTCCCCCACAAAACTCCTATGTTGAATTCCTAACCCCGAGTACCTTAGAAGTTGACTTACTTGGAGTTTGAGCCTTTAAAGAAGAAATAGATTAACATGTGGTCATTAGAGTGGGCCCTAACCCAAGAGAGCTGGTGCCCTTATAAGAGGAAGAGGTGAGGACACAGACACATGCGGAGGGAAGACCACATGAAGACACAGGGAGAAAACTGCCACCTGCAGGCCTCAGAAGAAACCAAGGCTGCCAACACCCTGATCTCAAACTTGTAGCTTCCAGAATTGTGAGAAAAGAAATTCCTGTTGTTTAAGCCACTTAGTCTGTTGTACTCTGCTATGGCAGCCCTGGCAAACGAATACGGTTATACAAGAGATGCTGCCATCACACGATAGCATTACATGTGCTTACCACAGACATACTGTAGCATCATACATGGTAGACCAGATGGCACAGATACTCAGAGCATCAGACATGATTGTCAGGGGACTACCCATAATAGAGAATCTATTAGAAAAATACGCAAACATAGCATATAGCTTCATCCATCATCAGAGACACGATGAGACATAGTATAACTTCATACATGGTTGTCAAGGAGATGACCCAGAAGTAGTGTAGCATCACTTTGGTTGTCGGGTAAATGAGGCAAATAGAGCATGGTGACATACATTATTAGGGAGACGACACATAGTGTAGTGTCATACGTGGACATCAGAGTGATGACATAGACATAATTCGCATCATATGTGGATAGAATGGACTTGACACAGACATATTGCAATGTCATAGGTGCTTATCAGGAATATGAGACATATAGATGTCAGCATAAAAATAAGAAAATGACACAGAAATAATGTATCATCATACTGTTTTCCAAATGGCACAGACATGGTGTAGTGATTATCATGGACATGATACAGAAATCATCTAGTCACATCCTATCGCATCTTACAGGATTGTTAAAGGGATGAGATAGTAGTAGTACAGCATCACACATACTTTTGTCTTGGAGGTTTCACATAACATAGCACGGTTTTCTAGGATATGATGCCTATATTATGTAGCCTCATGTGTGATAATTGAGAAAACTCTCATAACAGAGCATCGTACATGATTTTCAAGAAGAGGACGTAGATGTCGTTGTGAAGAACATGATACAGACATAGTATAACACCATACATGTTTTTAAGGAGATAACACAGAAATAGCATAGCATCTTAATGACTGTCAGGGAGATGATGTGGCTATCAGGATATGATATAAGGTATAGCATCATGTCAGAGAGGGGAGGCAATCAGAGCATAGCATCATAAATGGAGGTCAGTGAAGTGACACACTTTAACATCACATAACCTCATTAATTGTGGGCACAGAGACCATAACATACGAGCCTACCATGGAGATGACACGATAACATCACACATAGCACTCAAGGAGATGACATTAAAGGAGAGTGTGATAAGCAGACTTCAAGGATATAATCCAGATAGAACACGGAATCATGCAGTTTTGTAAATGAAGGGATCCGGACATAGAAGACCTTGAAGACGTGTTTGTCAAGGTGATGAGGTGAAAATATTACAGCATCGCACATAAATTTCTAGGAAATGGCAAAGGTATGGTAGAGCATCATACATGGTTATAAAGCATTAGATGAAGATATAGTGTAGCATCATACATGATTTTAAGGAGAATGACAAGGACTGTAAATTAAAACATAGCAGTCAGGGATATGATATAGACACAATATAGCATCATACATGGTCATTAAAGGGATAACATAGACTTAGCACAGCTCCATACATGATCATTAGGTGGATGACATGGGGGTGGTGTAGAATTATCTGCAGTCTTCAGGAAGAAGACATGTAGCGTAGTGTAGCATCACACTTTATTATCAAGGAGATGACTCCTAGAACAGCATCACACATGGTTGGGTGATAGCATGAGATGACATAGACTTAGTATAACATCACATATGCATGCCAAGGAGATGGTGTAGATGGAGCATCCCATGTGGTTGTCAAGGTGCAGACACAGTATCACATGTGGTGGTCATGGATATGATATAATGACAGAGGGGCCAGTGAATGAGGCAGAAGTTGTGTAGCCTCTTATATGCTTGTCAGGAATACATAGTTATCATGAGGATGACCTGTGGTTTACTATCATAAATTATCATCCAGGACATAGTGCATATGTAGTATACCAATACAGATGGTTGTCAATGAGATGATACAGACATCACATAGCATTATATGGGGTTTTCAGTGAAATGTCACAGATACAGTGTAGCATCACATATATTTGTCATCAAGATGAGTTCTAGTATCACGGCACACATGGTTATCAAGGAGATGATGCTGACATAGTACACATCATATGCAGCAATCGAGGAGATGATATAGGTAGAGTGTAATATCATACATGGTTTTTAAGAAAATTTGAGTATCGTGTATTATCATGCATGGTCATCAGGATGATGATGATACATAATGCAGTATCTTGCTTGGTGACCCAGAGCTGGAGTAGATACAGCATGTAACATGTGTCCTGGAGGGATGAGGTGGGCATAACAGAATAGCATACATGGTCAACAGCGAAGTGACATAGATGTATTGTAGCATCATCTGTGGTCTTCAATGAACTGGGGCACGCGTAGTGTACTACCAGCCCACAGTTACCAGTAAGATGATGCAGACCCAGTGTAGATAAGTGGTAAGCAAGAACATGATGTATAGCATAGCATCACATATGTTCATCACAAAGATGTGTTACATGCAGCACATATGGTATAAAGGAGATAATGCAGATTTATTATAGCTCCATGGATGGCGGTCAAGTTGATGAGGTCGACGTGGTATAGCATAATGCATGATAAGGGAGATGACCCAGAATATACCATTATATATAGTTACCCAGGGGATGTGAAGATGCAAAGACCTGGTATAACATCAGATGTGGTTGTCAAGGAGATGACGCAGACATTATAACCTGTGGTTACCAAGAATATGATACTGACAGAGTGTAATGACCAACATCACAGAGATGAGGCAGATGTAGTTTCTCTCACAGCTGGTCATCAGGTAGATGACCTACAGTGTAGAATTATACATGTTGATCAAACAAATTAAATGTATGAACAGATGACCTACCATCGGCTGAAGCAGTTGCAATAAGTTTTCCGGTGTAATCAAAACAGCTGTCTAGTATTTCATCATCGTGGCCTGTCAGCGTGGCCACACATTTTCCATTTGTGGCATCCCACAGCTGCAACAGAAACAGAAGGTGACCACGACTTCCTGTCTAAAGTGCAAAAATGGGAAGAAGTAGGCCCATGACATACTTATGGCTAGCTGAATAACCTGTGCCAAGGTCATGTGTATAATTTTCACATGTTCCATTAAGTTTACCTGGATTCATGACAAGAGACCACAATCAACCATCTCACAAGGCACACTTTCGACAAAGAGAAGACCAGAGACAGACATTTAGAATGGATAGTGCAAATCTGCCCCTATATTAGGAAAAATCTCAAAGTGCGTGCTTCACTGATTGGAGTGAAAATGTCCTCTTCTCATAAAAAGGTCATCGAATGATAAGGAGCTTGATCTGAAACTATAATGCTAGAGAATGAAAAGTGCATTAAGATTATAATACATCGGGTATGTAATCAAATATTAATTCCAGAGCCTAAGCTCTTAGCAACAGAAATTTAAAGGCAGGGAAATATTGTATTGAGACTCCTTGAAATTCACTCTAATCAAAGTTTAACAGATGAACAGAGAGACATTAAAGAAAAATAACATGTCTTTTAAAATAAGATGTTGTAATACATTTGATTCAATTAACATGGTTTCACTCTATCATAATTCTTTTAAACCTGGGGGATCAGAAACTTAACATTTAAAAATACCAATTATTTATAAATTAACATCCTAATTTTACAGCACCTTTGAGATGAGGTAATGTTGCAATGACTGTCTGACATCGTAAAAAGTGCACACAGGAGAACTGTAAAGCAAAGATATTTCTTGAGCTCACCATGCAGGTCTTGTCCATAGAGCCAGTTAATATCAGAGAGCAATCCCAGTTGAATAGAGCACTGCTAATTTCAGCACAGTGCCCGATTAAGGTATACACCTTCCTACAAAATGGAAAGGATTCACACTGGTGAAAGACGTCTTGCTTCAGCGTATGTGCACAAATAATGATGTCAAGCCCATTGGTGTGAGAGTCAAAATTTTGTTTCTTACCAAATAATATCTTTGATGACAAACAATGATAGTTGTAGTATAACTCAAAAACAGTCAACTAGGATACTAATTTCATTTTGGCAAAAATATACTTACATTTGAAGCATTCAAAAATAACATTACTTAAGACTTCAGAAGGCCATGGGTAAAAAATAATACAGTTGGTGTGAAATTCTGGAAGTATTCTTATACCAGACCAGTGGACCCCTTGGTAGTTCAGAAACTACCCATCAAATGTCTGAAGGACCCTTCCTTCTCCCTATTTCTTGGTGTATCCATCTTGTAGCAACCCCTGGAACTTAGCCCCTCTATCAAGATGCAGGCAAGTCCATCAAAAGGAATGAGATCTTGCCATTTGCAATGACGTGGATGGAACTGGAGGGTGTTATGCTGAGTGAAATAAGTCAATCAGAGAAAGACATGTATCATATGACCTCACTGATATGAGGAATTCCTAATCTCAGGAAACAAACTGAGGGTTGCTGGAGTGGTGGGGGGTGGGAGGGATGGGGTGGCTGGGTGATAGACATTGGGGAGGGTATGCGCTGTGGTGAGTGCTGTGAATTGTGCAAGACTGTTGAGTCGCAGTTCTGTACCTCTGAAACAAATGATGCAGTGTATGTTAAGAAAAAAAAAAGAGAAGAAGATAGCAGGAGGGGAAGAATGAAGAGGGGGGAATCGGAGGGGGTGACCAACCATGAGAGACGATGGACTCTGAAAAACAAACGGAGGGTTCTAGAGGGGAGGGGGTGGGGGGATGGGTTAGCCTGGTGATGGGTATTAAAGAGGGCACGTTCTGTGTGGAGCACTGGGTGTTAGGCACAAACAATGAATCATGGAACACTACATCCAAAACTAATGATGTAATGTATGGTGATTAACATAACAATAAAAAAATTTTTAAAAAAAAGATGCAGGCAAGTCCAAGGTAGAGCTTTCCAATGCAAATAGTCTAATTTAGTTAACTTCTTAGCAACTAGAACCCAAAATAATTAGGAAGGAAATTGAAGTTGTTGGACTAAATTTAATTTGGAAAATTAGCCATAATTTTATTTACTCATGATATCCATGCCTGCCATAACGACAAGCCATTGAAATTTGATTACACAGTACCTGGAACAAATAATAGCCATATACCCAGGCTATTGTTAACATTCTCCTTTTATGTTTCTGTGTGGCATTATTTGCTCAGAATTCCAAGATAACACACATTTTTTTCTGGATCAGAAATATCATTAAATAATGAATTAATTTATTTTCAGTGCATCCTATTCCTATAGAGTCCAAAGCACAGTTAATAGATACAAGATTGAACTAGTGAACAGCAAAGACGGTCTTCTTATCCCTCTGATCCAAATTAAAAAATCCTTAAAAACAGAGAATACCTTCCAGTATCAGCTTCCCACACTGCAACAGTATGATCAAAAGATCCCGTGATGATTCTGTTTCCCAAGGTGTTAAAGGACAAAGAGATGATTTCAGCAGAATGTCCCTAGAAAGAGAGTGGATGTCATCATGCATTACCTGCAGAAAAACAATCTCTACAAATGCACAATGTCACAGTTTAAAAGAAAATGCTAGAAAAGGAAAAACTCTATAGGGAAAAAAGAGATTAGTAGTTGGCTGGGGGTGGTAATAGGGAGAGACCGCAAATGGGCACAGGTATCTTTTTGGGGAAATTTTGAATACTAGAGTTTGGTGAAGGTTGCACAATTTCATAAATTTACTAAAAGTTGAATTATACACTAAATCAAGTCCATTTAACTTAGTAAAACTAAATAAAACTGGGTTTTGTTTGTTTGTTTTAATGGATAGGATGACATGATTTCGGAAATCAGAGGGCTTCTTTTCCATTGTGTTGAAAACACTTTTAAAAAGGCTGTATGCAAAAAAAGAAAAAAGAAAAAAAAAGGCTGGGGCACCTGGGTGGTTCAGTCTGTTAAGGTTAAGTGTCTGACTCTTGGTTTTGGCTCAGGTTTTAATCTCAGGGTTCTGAGATCCAGCCCCGCAGAGGGGTCCCCGCTCAGCAGGGAGTCTGCTTGTCTCTCTCTCTCTCTCTGCCCCTCCTCTTCTTGTTCTCTCTCTGTCTGTCTGTCTCTCTAAAATAAATAAGTCTTTTATTAAAAAAAAAAGCTTGTAGGCTTTATGGGTTAACAATAGGTGATAGGCAAGTTTGTGAAATAAAGTTAACTTAAAAAAAGGATATTCTTATGACAATTTTTTTTAAAGATTTTATTTATTTGAGAGAGAGTGCGCAACAGCGGGGTGCGGAGGGGCAGAGGGAGAGGGAGAAGCAGGCTCCCCGCTGTGCGGGAAGCCCAACACACAGCGCTCCATGCCAGGACCCTGATATCATAACCTGAGCCAAAAGCACCCCCTAACCAACCAAGCCACCCAGGCGCCCATCTTACAATGATTTAACATAAAATAGGTTAATAAATATCTGGCCTTTGGCCTGACTTTCACTTGGTCACTGTCTAGGACTGATGCATCAAACATTCTGAGACAATGGGAGGAAGCCCCTCTCTGCAGCAGACTCTGCTTACAGTATATCCCTTGTTTCCTGAATTATTTTGGCAAATTAACATTACTTTTTTCAATAGTGAAAACATTCATTTGCACATCAAACTTCTGGTTGATTCTAAATGGCAAACATTAAATGTAGCTGAATGTGAAAATTCTGAACACGCAAGACCAATGTGTTGTCTGGCGGCAGACAGGTATAGGTGTGCCGAGGGAGATACATCCTTTCCAAGACCGTTAGGCATCTGTCTGAAAGACGAGGTAGTGAAGGGACAGTGACCCACAGAAATGATGAGAACAAAGATCAAGAGTATATTTATGTTAATTAAGGTTGGCACTCTGAATTCAGAAAATCCCTTGGTGTTTATTAAAAAGAGTGCTTTTTCTCTCTTTCCAGTCTTTTTTTTTTTTTTTTTTACTTTCTTAGGAAAAGCTCTCCTAGGAAAGGGGTCCTAATTTGAAATCCATTTATAATTTGAAAGAATAAAAAAAAAAAAGAATTGGATTTCCCACCCAGCTATTCTCACTGATTGGCCCAGAGAATCCCCCTGCGTGTGTCCAGTTGTTTCGGTTGGGGTGGGAAGAAGCAGAGAGAGCATGTGGGAGGAAGGTGCTGGGCGCATGGTGGGGACAGACAGAGACCCCGGTGGAGAGACACCACCAACTCTTGCTCTCTGGGCAGTGCCCTTTAGCCTTTTTCCTCATGCCACTTACCCCTTGTCATTTCAGACTTTGTAATACAGGAGGCTTTTGAGACCAGCGGGTGGTGGATGAGAGTGTTAACGGTTATTGTTTTAAGGAATCTTCTGGCAAGTTCCTCCAGTTCTGCCTCTTCCAGAAAGTGCTAGCCTCCGCCTATTTGGCTTTATGCCAGACAGATGGTGCTAGGATTTAAGCTGTCCGTAGTATGGCTTACAGAAGGATGCTAGTCAAAATAAAAAAGCCCATGTGCCCTCCTCAGCTCCCCCATCAAAGTCTTTAGGAAAAGCCAGCAAACCAACTGGGACAACTCTTTTCACTGCAGTCTGAAAACCAATAGCTCAAAAATACCTTCTGACATAGAACTCATTTTGTAATAAGAATATGAATAAAAACAAACTCAAATAATAGGCTTATGCTGAGCAATGGCTAGGGAAAATGCAAAACCCTCGAGCTGGTGACATTATGCACGTACTGTTAAAGTGAACACTTCCTCTCCATTCTGAATGTCCCACAGTTTGGCCGTTGTGTCCATGCTCCCAGTAGCCACCAGTGTGCTTTGAGGATTGAATGATAAACAAACCTGAATTGCAGGAAATAGAAGAAATTTTAGAACGATAAGAGTTTTGAATTGTTAATTTTGTATAGAAAAGCTTCAAGATGCAACCACCTTAGGTTCAGCCTCATTCTCTGCAGTGAGATACCAGGGTGGCATTTGGGTGGCCTGCTTTCTGCAGGTTGAATCCTGAAGCAAGAGGCTGCTTTGATATAGACCACAGAAGAGCAAGAATAAAAGCAAACCCATCTCCTTTGAGATTCATCCTCTCTGGCTCCCGTCTTCCTTGTTGTTAACTTCACAGTCCTTTGCATCCTGCTCCGTCACCCCCCCAGGACTTTGGCTATTGGCTCACGGTCTCAATTCCATGTCCTAGCTGGCCTTCGTGTGAGCTGTCGATCCAGTAGCCCAGACCCATGACCCTAGACAACCTTTCATAATCACTTCCGTGGCCGCACCTGGACTTCAATGTCACTTTTTCTAGAAAATTCACTACCCATACACCCATCTCTTGGTACAATTTCCCAATGCTTCCACTTTCGTCCTCACCAAGCCACCCCCAGGATATCTTCTATCTCACTGAGACCCCTGCCTTTTCCTGGCACCCCATCCTCCATTCAGCTGACACCCTGGAAGCATCATTCCTGCAGCCTCCTCAATACCTTCACTCCTTGCCTTTCCCCAGCACCGTCCATAAGACTCCTAACAACTGTATCAAGCAGGCATTTACCCACTCATTGGCCCTCCCTCGCCACTCAACTTAAGAAAACCGCCTAGCAGATTGCAGGTGTCACTCATTCGGGCCTTCTGTCCTCAGCTGTGTCCTCAGCACCATTCCCTCCCTACCTGAACGTGCCTCTGGCTCTGTACATTCTCCCTTTCCCCACTCTTGCCCCCGGTCTCTCCTCATCCCTCCCCCACAGATAACCTGGCCTCCTACTACTTCCCAGAGAAAACACCTATGGGGGGACCTTGCTCACCTGGCCCTCACTTCCTTTCCCTTCAGAGTCAGGTGCAGAGGGATCCCTTTGCCCTTCTGAGACACCCTCTTCCCTGCACTCCTAGAGGAGACGTGCCCACTGATTTTTTTCCCTCCGTCTAGACCAGATGCCTCCTAGTGGCCTATAAATAGGCTTGAGCTCTTCCTACATAAAAATAAATCCTCCCTTGACTCTATGTACCTCTTTTTTACCTACCTTTTTGTCCTTTCACAACCAAATTCCTTGGAAAAATAGTGTGGCATCATCGCTGCTTGCCCATGCTTGCCCATCTCCCACTATTCAAATGCTGGAACCACTCTGGTTAAATGATCCAAAGGCTCTATCGGTCACTCCATTTAACCTCCCTGACGCCTGCACTGTTGACTCCTTTGTTCTCCATATTTTCTTTCTTCTTTTTTTTTTAAAGATTTTTTTATTTTTTTTGACAGAGAGAGAGAGTGCGGATTTGAGTAGGGGGAAGAGGCAGAGGGAGAAACAGGTTTCCCACGGAGCAGGGAGCCCGA